ATCAATGTACTTCGTTCAATTGGGATTGCTCATATGTGCTATACGTATTATTATTAATATTATTATTATTATTATTATTATTATTATTTTTTATTATTATTATTATTAAATATTATTATTATTATTATGAATTTTATTTTTATTTATATTTTTACAGAAGACCTGGGTGACAGGCAGAAACACAGTTATTTGTATAAGACGAAAGCCTAACACACACACACACACACACACACACACCGCACACAGAGGCTAAAGTGAACATGTTTGGTGAGCGTGTATATAGAAGTGTCAGGTCTATCAGGTCCCGTGTTTCTCTTTGGTTGACCCCACTTACTCCTCCCCTCCACGCCTGCCAGCCACGCTCACTTTAGACCCCATTTCCCGCCTCAACGCCTTACTCTTTCCTTCTTTCATCCAATATTTCCCGGAAGTTAAAATTTCATGTTATATTCGTTATTTTTTTTTAGTTTTGTAGTTTTTATTGTTATTTTTGTAGTTGCTGAATGTAACTATTGGCGGGTCATATTGGAAACCCTATAATGATACGTTTGTCAAGATTTTTACTAACTCTCTTTTTCATCAGAATATCGTATTGTTTCAGAAATTTTTATATTCAATTTATAATATATTCAATATCATCAGTTAAATCCTATACGGATTAGTGAATTCAAAAAATAATCGAAAAAATATCGACCACAGTTACCACTCGTCACTTGTCATACAGTTGTCACTTTAAATTCCATCACAGCGAGAAAATTAAACGTCTCTTAATTTTACGGGTTCTTATTCCCCCCTCATATATACTGGCAGGATATTATATTTATCAAGTAGTTTCTCTCTCTGTAAATCTGTCTATGTATCCAGTAATACACATAACATTTAGAGGTTTTTTTTTTATAATATATCTCCTAAGTTCCTGGATCAAATCAAGATATAGTTAGTTTAGTTTCTCTTTAGAAGTTTTTAAAGTTTAGTCAGTTGGCCGTGTCAGACCCAGCAGTGTCACAGTTAAGTTACTAAATTACTTTGTATTTTAAAATTAATCACCACTAGCATCTCAATTCCAGTTTGTGTTGGTAAATAAATGTCTATATTATGTTTTAGATAATTTTGGCCCATAACGTTGGTGTGTAGATAATTAAGGATTTTATACAAGATCATTAACCAGTGTGATGGCAGGGTAATGTGTGTGGTGCTGGGCAGGCAGTGCTGTGTACTATTACTTCACACAAATTAAAAATAATAATTATTGTATGCTATGTTAAAGTTTGTATTTATAAATGATAATTAGATTGTTAAAATAGGTAAAATAAATGATAATTAGATTGTTAAAATAGGTAATTAAGGAATGAGTTGAGTGGTAACGGGAGGAAGATCACCACGCTTCCCCGATCTTCATTTGTCAATCAAATCCAGGGCTTTGAATTGATTTTACCCAAGTTTATTGTATAGTCTTTTTTATTCTTTATTTTCTGTGTACTGTGAAAAATTGTGATATTTATTGAAGAAATTAAAAGATGATTTGAAGAGAGAGAATGTTTCCCCTAGTGAGTCAACCTAGTGACCGTAAATAGACAGATAGAAAGAATTAATTAAATCAACACACAAATTTACTTCGGTTTATCTTGTACGCAAACACATATAAACAACGTAAACAATCGTAAACCAAACCTTAAGTCGATTTAACCAATAGCCGAGGAAAAATAAATCCATATTATTTTTAACTATTTTACATCAAATATAACTAAAACTCTGACCTTTAATTCTACGTATTTCGTATTATTCCTAAAAGTGAAATAATAAAAAATGTGTAGAAAAATACCTCGACACGCTCCCGCTGTTCATTTTGTCACTCAGAAGCTGCCGCTGAGTGTCAACATAACAGCGGCTCACCTCGACACCTCCTCGTTTTTTCCCCCGTTGCACCTCCTGACGTCTTTATAAATACCAGAAACTGACGCTAAAAACGCTGACATTGTATCGACTCTGACATGGAAATATATAAAGACTAAATTTACCAGTGCTAAATAACCGGAAATTTTGTAATAACAATAATATGAACATTAGATGTAGTGATGCTACTACTACTACTACTACTACTACTACTATATAATAATAATAATAAAGTAGGTACTGTATTGTGTGTGTGTGATATTCCAGACATATCGATAGAGACTTATAAGGCCTATAAATGGGAACGTCTTCTTAAGCCACTAGTTACCAGGAACCACAAAACAGTGTCACAAGTCTTGGAAACCGGAATAGAGAAGCAGGATCCTGTGTTTTGTTGTACAAATTGAGGCAGGAGATGGTGGTGTGGGGTGACAACAACGTCTCAGCCCCCCCTCCTAAAACCTCCCTTTCACCTCTCTCCCTCTTCCCTCTCCTCCTTCCTCCGTGACCTTCCCTCTCCCTACCTCACCTTCTTTCATCCTCCTCATCTCCTCCTCTCCTCATCTCCTCCCTAACCCTCCCCCCTTTCTCCCCTCTTCCCTCCTCCCTTCCATCACACCTCTCCCTTCCCCTTATCCCCCTCTCTCCATCCCCTCCCTCCTCCTCCTCCCCCTTCACACACACTAGTTTTCTGCATTAATTATATATATATTTTGTATTAGCACATATATACATATTTGAACTATAATGTGAGCTTATGTGTATGTATGTATATATGTATGTACGCATGTGTGTGTATGTATGTATGTGTGTGTGTATGTATGTATGTATGTATGTATGTATGTCTATTTACCTAGTTATTCAAAAATTCCTGTAATAATTTCATAAGTTTCCTAATTAAGTCTAACTGTTTTCTCTAGATAGACTACGTGTGTGTGTGTGTGTGTGTGTGTGTGTGTGTGTGTGTGTGTGTGTGTGTGTGTGTGTGTGTGTGTGTGTGTGTGTGTGTGTGTGTGTGTGTGTGTGTGTGTGTGTGTGTGTGTGTGTGTGTGTGTGTGTGTGTGTGTGTGTTTGGGTTGTGGTTAGTAAGGTGGGAGGAGGGGAAGAGGCCAGAGAAGATAGGAGGAGAAGGGAGGAGAAAGAACAAGAATAATAGTAAAGAGAGGAAACAATAATTAAACCAACACTCCTAGGTGTAGATATGTGTAGAGGCCTTGGGTTTGTGGGTGTAGAGGCCTGGGGTGTGTGGTGTAGAGGGCCTGGGGTTGTGTGGGTCTAGAGTACTGGGGTGTGTGGGCTGGTATGGGTGTGTCCAACAGGTGTTTGTGGTCTCTTGTGGAGTGTATTATACCCAGGAGAATTGAAGGAGAAGTATGGTTTCCTGTATACCTCCTGTCACCACACACACACACACACACACACACACACACACACACTTGTTCTCAGTAATGACTCTGTACACCTGTGTGAGTGAGAGCCCACAGCACGTACTCTCTCTCTCTCTCTCTCTCTCTCTCTCTCTCTCTCTCTCGTTAATGCAATGTTCACTTGATAATCGTGTTCTTGTTATTCCTGACAGTTATATTCTTTCTTTCAAGTTCTTCTTGAAGTTCTTCCTCAAAATTCTTAACCAGAACTATCTCAAGAACGCCAGTAACCCCAGAACATGCGTCGCTTCCAGGTGAGTCAGTCTGTGTGTTATCTGTGTATACGTTAATACATATACACTGGTGTCTGTATACGTTAGTCAGTGCATATGTGTAAACGTAATGTGAATGCACTAATACATGTATACACTAGTATGTGAACATTCATGAAACATTTCCACATAACTACACACACACACACACACACACACACACATATACACACACACACACACACACACACACACACATATATACACACACACACACACACACACACACACACACACACTAGTGGATGACGTCACACATGCCCATGGGTTTGTTTACACTTGAGACACCTAGCGGAGAAAAAAATCATCATGGCTGACACTTACAAGAAACGTCGCTCCGAGTCCATCTTTCTAGAGTCCTCGTCGACGTACAGCATTAGGACCAGAGTTGCTGCGTTGTGTGTTGGATCGTCCTGTACTGAGAACAAGAATAACATATTTAATTACTAGTTGATGAGCGTTAACAGATAGGCGGGTAGCGTTAGGGTACAGGGGAGTGATAAGTCTTGGGTGAAAAACGATAATTTACCTCATACACATCAGAGCCATTATTTATTTTCTGGTGTTAGGTGGGGGGGGTACAGCCTGTTGATGTTTCAGGGTCTGTCGTCGCTGGTGTAGGAGTGAAGGACAAAGTGGTATTTATGTTTGGTATTTGGGAAGCGAGTGTTACTGAGCCTCGTCGATACCACAACCGATGAGGGAGAGGGAGGTGAGGGGGGGATGAGGGAGGGGAGGAGGGATGAGGGAGGGTGAGGAGGGATGAGGGAGGTGAGGGATTGTGAGGAAGATGATAGGGGAGGGGAGGTGAGGAGGGGATGAGGAGGAGAGGGAGGGGTGAGGGGGAGCCGAGGAGGTGAGGATTGTGAGGAAGATGATAGGGAGGGGAGGTGAGAAATATTAGAGGAAGAGGAGGTGAGGGAAGGGAGAGGTAAGGTAGGTGAGGGGGGAGGTAAGGTAGGTGAGGGGGGAGGTAAGGTAGGTGAGGGAAGGGAGAGGTAAGGTAGGTGAGGGGGGAGGTATCACTTAATAACTCACTCCGATATACTCTACCTTACTGTATTTACCTGGTAGTGACTAGTTTATTGTGCACACCGGGTATGTCTGTGGACGGCCAAATCAAAATCAACCACTTAACAAAGGCCTATGTACTATACTGACGCATCAACACAGCACTAACCGGTTGCCGTCATGTTCAGTCGTTCGTGTGGAGGCTGTGATGTCAACATTGTCTTCGTGTGACGTCTCAGTCTCTCACTACAAGATGGCTGGTCGTCTGCTCTATGTGGCGGCCGGTATATAAATTAAATTAAATTAGTCGGTGCTGTCACAACAGAAAATGTGGTGAGGGGTGACTGGACCAATTTAAGACAGGAAATAACAGGTGAATTTTCTCTATTGCTTTCTTAAGAATATTTTCATTTGACTTTTTGGAAACGTGTTAAAGTAATTCTTAAATTTTTCAAGTAGGACCTTGAAGGAGAATTAGTTTCAAGCTTATGAGTATTGTGAGTATACCACACACTCTCTCTCTCTCTCTCACACACACTAGTCAGGTGTTTTAAATATTATAAACTTATTATGTATGCTTCAAGTTGATCTCGCTGAAGTGGTTTAAAGTTTCACTCATAAGTTACATGTTGGTGAAAAAGTTAAATATTTTAACTCGCTCAGAAGTCTCGTGTTACACCGCTTAAGTTGTGTAGTAATGGAAGGTTGTGATTGGCTCATTCTCCCAGTCGATGTAAATTCTTGCACTATGATTGGTTAAAATTGTCACGATTCAGAGGGTTAGGATTCACTCTGTTTTAGTGGGATAAGATTTGTTTGTCGTTTGTTTGGGTGTTTTAAGCGTTTGTTTTAGTTTCGAAGCAGCTCAGTCATTCGGTTTAGATGCTCGAATCATTTTGTTTCAGAAATTCGAAGCTCTTGTGTGTGTTGGAGCAGTAGTGTTCTCTGGTTCATGTGTTCGAAGCAAGTTATGGATAATCTTTTTTAGTCTGTCTTCACTTGTTGCCCAATATGGGTGTTCGAATCGGTGAGTCGAACTTAAGCCTGGTTGATTTATTTGGTCCGGATTTTCCAAACTTCAAGATGAACTTTTTCGGGTTGCTGTGTGACACCTAACCTAGCTTACGGTAACCTAACCTAGCTTAACTTAACCTAACTTAACCTAACAACCTAATCTAACCAACCATTACCGCGTCTCTCCTGGAACACCTCGTGAATATGTGTGTGTGTGTGTGTCCCCCCAGTGGGGTGGGCGTGACGTCTTGAGGGTGGCGAGTGGGTGTGAGGGTGGCGAGTGGTGGAGGGTGGTGGTGATGAAGGGTGGTGGTTCTGAAGTTGGATGATGAGGATGGATGCTCTGGGTGGACAATGGGTGATGAGGGTGGGTGGTGGGTGATGAGGGTGGGTGGTGGGTGATGAGGGTGGATAATGGGTGATGAGGGGGTGGTGGATAGTGGGTGGTGAGGGTGGGCGTTGATAAGGTAATGAGTGGTGGTGGTGTAGTCTTGGTCCCTCGGGAGGCTAGCAGCTAGTGTCTGCTCCACGCACTGAGCCCTCGCTTGTGTGTGTGTAAGTGCGTGTGTGTGTTTGTGTTTGTGTATATCTGTGTATGTGTCCGCCCACCTCCACCCCCCACCACCTTCCCTTCCTCCACCACCCCCATTACCCACCCACCCACCTCTCCCTCCTGTCGTGGACCCTGCACTTCCTTCTGCAGTAAACCACTCTTAATGGAAGAAGCCTAGCACCATCTAGCAGCAGCCGTGTGGATTCTCAGCACCTATGTATTAATGGATAGATTCCCAGCGCCTAGGTATTAATGGATAGATTCCCAGCACCTAGGTATTAATGGATAGGTTCCCAGCACTCAGGTATTAATGGATAGGTTCCCAGCACCCAGGTATTATTTGGGCAGGCTCTGTCTCTGCTCAGCACCTCACACACATGGGTGAAACATTCCTCGTGAGGTTCAGTCTCCCCTAACGCTGTGTGAAAAAGATTCATGATAACGTGACTGCCAGTGTATAAATTAAACTCACGTTAAATAAGTTGAACAAAATAATAGTCCTGATGTTCAGTGTGGCAGGCGGAGGAGACCGGCAGTGTTGAAGTGACTTTTGTTGTTGTTTAATGTGTATTGATTACCCTAGGCGGTTTGTGTCGCCCTCACACTACATGACTGTTGTGTGTCGCCCCTCACTACACGACTGTTGTGTGTCGCCCTCACACTAAATGACTGTTGTGTGTCGCCCTCACACTACATGACTGTTGTGTGTCGCCTCACACTACACGACTGTTGTGTGGTAGTTGTGGGGGCAGGGGTAGTAACAAGTGGTGGGAAATACCTTCATCGTTTCTGGTAGTTCTTGCCGCCGCCGCCCATGTGATCTGTCTTGTCCAGGTCGCTGGTGAGTGTCGGTCGCCGGTAGTGGTCGAGTCGGCAGCAGCGGTGGCTGAGCTGTACTGCCGAACAGCAGCAACTGGGGGGAGAGGGCTGGGTGGGAGGGAGGCGATGAGAGCATTCCGAAACATCGCTCGTCAAAGTAGCGAACACAGCAACAAGGGACAACAAAGACGTGTTTATCAAGTCATCAAGGAACAAGTAGGAGGAGTAGAGGGCCATCAAGAGCAGGGGACACGCCTCAGTGCATTGCCCTTTATTTTATCTGGCCCCAGGATAACAAGAGGGGGGGTAGGGATGTGGGGCTGACCTTGGAGTTGGTGTGGGGGGTGAGGTGCTCATTACAGGCGTGTGGTGGTGGGCGGAAGTGCGGGCGTGAGGTTGGCCAGGCCCCGGGAGACAGGGCGGCTCTCAACGCCCCCGACCACTGTAGTCTTGTGCCTCTACCCAACCGCCAGCCAGCACCCGACCCGACCCGATTCCACGGTCTCTGGGTTCAGGAGGTGCCGGATCCTGGGTGCTAGGAGCTGAATACTTGTAGGGCTGGGAAGTTCTTGGTATTCCTCGTTACCGGGTGTTGGATGCTCCCAGGTGCCGGGCGCCTCTTGCTAGACTGCGGTAGAACTAAAACACAGTAAGACCATAGTTCTGGGTGCCCTACAGGCCTCTGGGTCATATTACGCTCAGTGCTCTGACGGCCGGAAAATCCTGTGTGTTGGCTGGTAGCTACAGAGTCTTAGCTGCTCGTGGGCAGACTGGAGGTGGATTAAGATACTGCTAGGACCAAGGGGGGGGGTGGCTGTTGCTATGACTGGGGAAATGTGCCATAAGGTACTACTGGATAAAAGCTGAGCTGTCTTGCTAAGGAGACAGATGGAACACTCCCAGAGCTCCATGAAGACGTGTTCTTGTATACACACTTTTACCCTAAATATCTGTCGGACCTGTTGTGGAGGATCACCTGCCTTCAGTTGTCACCTCCGATGGCTCGTCTCTTGTGTTGCCTAGTTGATGACGGTACACCTGACCCATGGATGGTTGACGGATCTCACCCTTGACATGCAGCCCAATGTCGCTTCAACTAACCCACTGCTGTCAACTCTCATCGTTCACCACATCCTCATCTGCCCTGTGACCTCCCCTACAGGGTGGCACCTCTCCTCCCCTGACCAGATATCCCTCCTCCAGGACAGGCCGGCAACTGACATTATTAGTGACCTGCCACATTTTGCCATAAAACAGATAAATTGTACAGGAATTTTCACCACACACTCATCATTGTCACTTTATGTAACTTGCTGACAAAACCCATGCGACCCTTCAGGCCTTTTACGCCCTTAATGCATGAGTCCATAAAACCAAGCATAAACTCCGCATGCTTCCCAGTTGGGCGCTATAACCTTCTGCGCTTCACCTTGCACAGGATATAAGGGGTGCCTAATAAACTAGCCCTCTCCGGCAAACTGTAAATCTGTAATCCTCCTCCCAATCATCATCATCATCATCATTCACCTCCTACTCTTCATTATTCTCCTGTCTTTTTTTCTCTTCCTCTTCCCCTATTTTCCTC